TACTGATGTTATAGCAGTGTGAGAGCTCTATGATGAAGATTCAAACTTATCAGTGGGGGAAAACACTCTCTTTGACATTTGTGTAAAGCCAAGAGGGACTTCAGAAAAGCTTGTGCTACAAAGGCAAGCAGCTAGAGTGGTTCTGTTCAAAATGAAAACTTCCAGTATTTGTTTTGATGGGGTTTGTAGCTTATTGTATCATGAGAGTAACATTATCTATTGGTCCTATTTCAGTAGTATTCGACAAAATAAATGAAGCACTTAGCTCTGTTACTAACAGGATCTTCATCTTGATGTATAAGGTCAATATCTAATTTAGTATTTTTAATAAAAGTTGCATTATTTCTACATGAAAATGGATAGATAAATACCATCAAAAGTGTTAACATTTCTATTTCCCTGTCTTTAATTTGACTTTTAAAAAATGTGGTGATTTTGCTTGTTTTTCTCCATTGGAGTACAGATTTCTTGGTGGTTTTTCTTTTTTTTTTTTTCTCTCTTTATGTTTTTCGTATTTATCACTTAATCTTGACTTAGTAAGAAATTCTGGGCTTTTATTTTTTATCACCTTCCTGTTTTAGCTCGCTTTTGACTATGGAGAATAAGACTGTGAGGAAGATGTGAGTGATGTAGATTTCTTGTTTAATAACATTCTCTGAAACTGCCTGGTGTTTTTGAATGTCTTCAAAGCATCAGCAGATTTTATATTTAGAAAAAAAATGCTTATGCTGTTTGTTAGAAGCATGAGAAATGGGTTATTTTACAGATAACTACCATTGAACTGGTTTCTTTGCTTTTCTGGCTTTTTTTGCTAAAGACAAACTAATGGTTTCTCTCAAATATGTAATTTGCCCTTCAGTATTGCATGATACAAGATTTTATTATGAAATTTCAGATCACTATACTTGTCAGAGAAGAAAATAGATAACATGGTTCTGCTTTAAGCCCCTTTGCAACTTTATTGAGGATGCATTCGTGTGATTCATATACCTATAAAATCTCAGAGGTTTTAGTGTGAACATCTAAAATTTAAAACCTGCTATGCTGTAAGTTAACTTTAAATATTTTTTTCAAAAACAGCATGAGATTTCAACCAAGTAACAGAATGATGTATTTTGGACTGTACTTATGTTGGCTAATACCTCTGGAACTGAACATGGAAGTACTGAAAAGAGCAGCAAAAGTGAATAGATCTATTACTTAGAGCGCACAATTAATCTTCCTGACATTATTTTATATGAACATGGGTAAAAATGCCTGGAAACCATACCATTGAATTCCTCTGCTCATTAATATTGATCAAATGTTGTTACCTTTGTGTTGGAAGCCACTTAAAGACTACCTGTAAAAGTATTACAGCACTATTGATTTTAAAAACCCAGTTCCTGAAGTCCATTGTTGTTCAAAATTAGTTGACAGGTTTGGGGTGTTCTTTTGTTGGTTATTTGGAGGCGTTTTTTGTGGTGTTGGTTTTTTTGTGTTTTGGGGGTTTTTTTGTTTACTTGTTGTTGTTTAAAAAAAAAAAAAAAGATGGGTTTGAACTTGCTGCTATATAGCTCAGTAACAGAAAACATTAATCAGATGGTGAGGCAGTTAATTATCTTGCGTTCAATATTATGTTGTATAAAAGCCTACACACCCCTATGGAAGCTAGCTGGAACTCCTCATTATCTGGAAGCTGTGCCTAGACCCTACATACCATTTTGGGGTCTTAAATGGAACAATGACAGGATTAGGCCCCAAATCCATCAGGACACTCAAAGATGCAGAACTTGTATTGGGGATCCTGTATGCTCAGTTAAGTAAAAAAAATAAAAAAAAAAAAGAAAAAAAAAAAGAATCATATCTTTGGGTGTTCATGCAATTTAAATGTTCTGAAGATGTGTGAACTGAGAGGCTAGTTGTCTATAGAATTAGGAAAAACAAGGTAGGATGATACAGGCTTTTTAATTTTCAATCAATCATTGCTTTAGAACGTATAAGTCTAACCCAGGTCCTTATTAATAAATGAATGTTAACCAGTGAAAATTAGGTGATTGTTTTGTGTTAATTTTAGTACATTTAATGAGAATTTTTTGTTGCTCTAAAAATAATTTTGAACTACCAGTTTCTATTAACAACAACAAAAGCAAACAAAAATACCTAAAGCAAAATACTTAACATTGACAGTGAAATTAGTGTTATTTTTTTATCTATAACCACTAAATAACAACCATAATCAGGAAAAAAAGAAGTCCATATTCTTGGTGTGTTGTTTTTTTTCCAGAAGGAAGACATCATAGAAGACAAACACTAGTTAAAAATACTGTCTTGCAGCAGTATATTTATTACTGTGCACCTCAAGTGACCTTTTAAGCCTTTGTACTTTGGACTGATCTGAGAAAATGCAAAATATAAAGAAAATCAATGACAGTAGGTTGAACACGTGCTTAACAAGCCATATGGACAAAGCAGCAAGCAAACTGAAAAAGTAATCAGTAAAAGATTTATTGCACTTGGAAGATTAGAGATCTGCTTGCACAGAAACTATTAATATATGAGGCTACCTGCAGCTACTCCCCAAACTGCAGCACTGTGACAGTGGCCTGGAAAAAAAAAAAATTGATATTCATTGGGAGACCAAATGTACAAATTATGAAAGATGATTTTTCCCAAAATATTCTGAAGGAGAAATAGCATGAACAGAAGCAGTGATACTTGAAACACACAAATCTTCCTAGATCTGATGAAATATGTTGTCTAGAATTAAGAACGTAGTGTACCATTACTTATAAAGTGTAATGCATAATGTAGATGGATAAAGGCAAAACAGGCAGCAGCCAGGGTCCTTGTTTTCATCTTCATGATTTTGCCCTTTTTAACTACCAGTTGGATTTGGAATAAGCTGCCATATATTCGTATTCCTTGTTTTTTGGGTACAGTGAGACATATCCTTTGTTTAATGATGTAAACAAAGCATAACTTCTTCAGGAATGTGTCTTGGCTGATGACATAAGTTGTAATAGAAATGTTCACCTGGGTGTCAGCACAAACATTGGCAATTATAATTTGGGAATGTGCCATCCTTCAGTTAATTTTTATCTTTTGCAAATTAATATTTTCTTGGAGAGTGTGGTTTTCACTAATGTAATGTTTGTAACTGAAAACATGAACTAATTGTCAGACCCTCAGAAACGCTAAATTTACAGCTCTTTTAAAAGTTTAAATCACTCAATTCAATAGTTCACTGGTTCAGTATGATGAAGTGTTGGGTCACAGCAACCACATGAACACTCCAGATGGGGGCAGAGGGGCTGGAAAAGGCCCTGGGGGTGCTGGTGTCATCAGCTGGACATGAGCCCAGGTGTGCCCAGGTGGGCAAGAGGCCAATGGCCCCTGCGCTGTCCCAGCCATGGGGTGTCACAGGCTCAGGGCAGTGCCCGGCCCTGTGCTGGGACTGCTGGGGCCACACCTCCAGTGCTGGGGACAGTTCTGGGCCCCTCAGACAAGAGAGACATTGAGGGGCTGGAGCGTGTCCAGGGAACGGAACGGAGCTGGGAAAGGGTCTGGAGCACCAGGAACAGCTGAGGGAGCTGGAAAAAAGGAGGAGCTGGAGTAAAGGAGGCTCAGGGGAAACCTTCTCGCTCTCTGCAACTCCCTGACAGGAGGGGGGAGCCAGGAAGTGGTTGGGCTCTGTTCCCAACAAGGGACAGGACAAGCAGAAATGGCAGGGGAGAGTCAGGTTGGACATCAGGAGGAATTTCTTGCTGGAAAGAGCTGTCAGGCTTTGGAAAGGCCTGAACAAGGAGGTGGTGGAGTCCCCATCCCTGAAGGTGTCCAAGGAATGACTGGACATAATGGCTGGACACTGCGCTCAGTGCCCTGGGCTGCTTGACAAGGTGGGGACTTTTCCAACCTCTGTGATTTCGTGACTGTGATTCTGTAATTCCCAGCACTGATTTTAAGTAAATTATGTTACAGAATTCTTTTCTGTTTTGTTGGGCTTTTTGTGGTTTTTGGGGGGATTTTTTTTTTTTTTGGTATGAAATTGAATGATTATGAGATTGCATTTCAATAAGCAATGAGTACCATCTTTCTATGTATGTTGCAAAGGTTGCAAATAACATGCTTTATATTGAATTCACAAATCTTTTCACACACAGATTTGTACATGAGGCTTTCTAATCAATGATTGCCAGTTTTTTTTTAATGAGATTTGGAAAAAAAAATCACCAAAATGCCAGGTGTTTTCTCCTGGTAGGAGTCAAATTGCAGGTGGTATTAATAAGATAATAAAATGGAAAAACTGTAGCATATGCTGTTAACTTTAGACCTCAGACCAAAAGATTCTGCCATTTAAAGGTATTTAGAGTTATAGTAATTGTAAACCTAACAAATTAGATCTCACTAATGAAACGTTATGTATCCTAGCACGTGATTTGTTGGAGAAAAAGAATATTTAGTCAGATCTTTTCAAAATCGTCTTGATGTGGATGTGCTACAAAGGCACTCAGTGGAAAAGGAATAGTTGGTTTAGTAGCTGGAAACTGCTGGCCCAGATCATCACATATTCAGAAAGTCACCCAAAGCCATAGCAAAGATCTCCTCAGACTACTAACTTGACATATAGTGATCATTCAGGGACATTGTACATGACACTCTGTACATGATAGCCATGTTTGATTAATACCTATTTCCTCAGTGGTGTAAAAGTTAGAATGCCTGTTATCTTTAATAGGAGAGCAAGATTTAGCTTCTCTGTCTCCTGTCTTCTCTTACATTAAAAAATAATGCTGTGATTAATGAGTAGTGACATGCTTCATATTTTTTCTTGTTCATAAAAATCTGTGCTGGCAAGTTATCGGAAGTAACTGAAGGATGTGTTTTAACTGCGTTAGTGGAATATAAAGCTATCCATAACACATTTTATTTCTTTAATGAATGCTTATAATGACTGAAATTTTATTGTTGTTACTGTGTGTGTATACATTCTTCTCTTTTTTTTCCCCCCCTTCTCTCAGGACCCTGCATTCCTAATCCATGCCATAATGGTGGGATATGTGAAATTAGTGAAGCGTACCGAGGCGACACATTCATAGGATATGTTTGTAAATGTCCAGAGGGATTTAATGGGATTCACTGCCAGCACAGTAAGTTCCACATGGTAAATTTTATTGTGTTTATAGATAGGAGCCTTTTTATTGTTTGTTAAGGATTAATATGGGATCTGGTTTTCTTAAGTATATCAGACTTTGTCCTTTATATTATGAGCCAGCTAATACCACTGAATACTACTGCTGCCTTCAGAAAATGACCTGGCTACCAACCTACTGGACACAACAGTGCATAATTTGCTATGCATATTTTAGACTGTGGCAATGACGAGGTAAACATATTTTGCATGGATTTAATGGAAAAGCATTCTTGAAATAGTAGAGATCTCTTCTTATCTCAGTATTGTGTGTGGGTTTTCTTTGATTAATGCTAGACAAAAAGAGGAAAGAAATACTGAAAAGAAATTTCCGAAAAAATATGTCTTCTAGATCTTTCTTTACCTATGTCTTTATAATTTATTAAGAAATGTTTTAACTCAGGACACTTAAATTCAAAGATAGAAGCAGCAGGCTTAAATTGAATGTACATTTAATCCTGTCTACAATAGAGTTTCTGGATCTCTTTCTAATCACTACCACTTGAAGGGTATTTCTTGTTTTCAGGTGAAAATCCTTGGCTTACAGTGAGTAGTTACAGAACTGACAAGTAACCTCACGGGAAAAAGAAATCTTGAGTGTGCTGGATTTGGCTGGAGTAGACTTAAGTTCTTTCACAGTAGCTGGTGTGGGGCTGGGTTTTGAATTTGTGCTGGAAACAGCATTGATAGTTCATGGATATTTTAGTTACTGTTGGGTAGTGCTTGCATGGAGTCTGCTTCTCCCATGACCCCACCATGTAAGAGAGTTCATCTGCAAGTGGCTGATCAGGTCACGTTCACCTATAAATGTAACCTGCATTATCTGTCACTTGAATAGAACTTGGGGGGTTTTCCATATGCGAAACTCATTTAGAACAAGTGCTTTGCCTAAGGACAGACTCGTGAGCCAAATTTTGGGGGGTTTATTTTGTGTATGAATTGGTTCTTTAACCAAGCGCAGCGTGGTTGAAGATCTCAAATTATTGATGCATTTGGAAGCCAACAGAAGATAAAAACTCAAGTAAATAGTCAAGAATCCACTTCCATTTGCATGTAAAAGATTAGTTCACTCATTCAGCTCAGGGTAACTAAATACTGAATCCAGCCTATCTGAATTAATTGCTCCATTTAGATACTTGTCTATAATTTGGAATGTCAGGGACCAGTGCAGTCCAGCTCAACTAACTACTTAATGTTCATTATGTCTTTCAAATACCCAATGGAAAGTGTCCCCAAAGACATTCAAATTCATTATTTTTGCCACACTCTCAGTTAATTACATAGGTAATATAGGCAGTTCCACTGAGTTAATCTGGTGAAAATATTATGGAGTAACTTCATCATAGTTGTTTACTAGGTCACCAGTATCCTTTCAAAAATACTGAGGTATCTAACAGTTAGCAAATGATCCTGGTGGTCAGCAAACTGTATTTATATCAACTTCAGAACAAAGTAAAGCTCTCACACAGATGATCCAAGCTCACTGAGGGGAGACCAGAACCCATGGAGGCAGCTAAAGAAATTTGAGAGAAGACAAGTTTATGTGAACAGTTACTCTTTGGGGGACGATGAAAATCAGCCCTTTTCAGATAATCTTATTTAAGATTTGGTAATAAATCAGATGCACTATATAGGTGTTCTGAGGCTCCCTAAGGATGTGAGCTGTGAGAAGCAGCCAAGAAGGTCTCACAATCAGAAGTATGGAATTTTCAGTAGTGGACTTAATATGACTCTTTTATGTTATATCACTTTAGCTCAATTCACAGAGTTCCTTTGATACAAATCCCTCAACTTCATAAAGTTTGGTAATTCAATTCTGAACTCACTGTAAATCAAGTAAGAAGTCTGTTGAATTTATCATAAAAAGATAAAATAAAATGACCTCATTGCAAGGCACGTCTCTTCTTCTACACATCAAGAATTCCAAAAATCACATTATAGTTCTCTTGAACAAGGCTTTTTATCTTGGATTTCTTTCATATCTAATATTCTGTTGTGAAATCAATTAAGCTAGGTGATTGATTTTGCAGTCGAGACAGATTCCCAAAGCTGTTATTTTATCATTCACTTGAACAAACATCCTGTCAATATTTCTGAGATTCATTTACCTTCTACGCATGTAAATAATTAATATATAAATTGTAAAAGAGATCATTAGCAATTTCACTGATTGCATATTCTTGATTTACTGCAAAACTGATATTAATTTGCAATGGTTATCTGAAAAGATTCTGATTGGCAAAAAAAACCAAAAAACAAACAAAAAAACCCCAACAACCAACAAATAACAACTTCCCATTTCAAGGCTCATAAAGTAACCAGGCTTTGGAGAGGAAAGTCTACCTCAGGTAAAATCCTGGGGAGGCTTGAAACTAGACTAGAAACCTGGGCAGAAGTTGGAACTAGGCAGTCTTTAAAGATTACAACCCAAAGCCAAAGCATCCTGTGGTTCTATATTAAAACAGCCTAGGAGAAGGCAAAGTCCATGGTAATACCCTGAGGACCAAAATGGACAATTTTTTTCCACAGGAAAAAAAAATAAATCCAGAATACTGAAAGACACATACACTATGCATTCTTGTGATTATCAGATAGAGATTGCCTGCTGGAAAAAGTAGGAAATTGAAACGTTAGTCACAGTATATATTACTGGCTGCCACTCAACTAGTTGAAACGACAGAGATCCTACTTGGAAATTTCAAGTTTGAAACAATAAAGAGTTCAGATTTAGTGGTTTGATTTGCATGTGGTTTTATATTCTGAGGATCATTAACTGTCAGACATAACTCAATGTCTTACACTCCAAGAAAAAAGGTTAGTAATCAAACACATTTAAAAACATAAGCAAGCCCTTCCTAGTGTTTGTACTGAGTTCTCTGCTTCCTACCACCACATTATGGATTGCCTGTGATATTCACATCTGCTACACAAGTGTGTTGGGAAATGGCACAGGTGGAGGCCATGTGGGAGAGCACCCGCTCACATTTTGGTTGTGTTTTAAGGCATCATCCCAGCTATCCATAGGACAGTGGCTTTTAACTGTGGGGCTGCAACTGGAAAGGCCAGGGACCATAAAATTTCAACGCGTTGACATGATGAATCATCTACAACTTTAGCTCTACCAGCAAATTCAAACCATAGAATCATGCAATCTCCTGAATTGGAAGTGACCCAAAGAATTATCAAGTCCAACTCCTGGACCTGCACACCCTGCACACCCCAGCAATCCCACCCTGTCCCTAAGAGCATTGTCCAAACACTTCTTAAGCTCTGGCAGCCTTGGGGCCAGGACCACTGCCCTGGAGGGCCTGTTTACTGTCCCATCACCCTCTGGGGGAAGAATCTTTTCCTGATGTCCAATCTAACCTTCCCTTGACACAGTTCCAGCTGTTCTCTTGGGTCCCGGCACTGCTTCCCAACATCCCACTGCTAGCCTGTGTAGACCCAGGCTTGCTCCTCCCTGGTGCAGAATTGCAGTGTGTTTTCCAACTACAGGAACAAATATGCATGGGGAAGGTGCAGAAAGTCCTGTGGCATGGAATTTGTGTGTTACAATGGGTGCATGCTCCTGCCAAACCATTACTGGCTGCATTTTGGTGGTATAGCACTCCAGAAACAATTTCCCACAGATGGTATTCATGCAGCTGTCTTATTTTGAAGGCTAAAACTGATTGTTATCTCGTACAGATACAGGTTATTCCAAGCCAGCTATCACAAGAGCCAAGTGGGCAAATTCAATGTACTGGGCTGTGTGCAGTTGTACCATACCAGGTGTTCATCCCACACTTCCATTGACAAACACTTACTCTGGTTTCTCCTTTGGAAAGAATTATCTGTTTAGGGCATTGTAAATTTAACCCAGGTGTTCCTTTTTATTTTAGGGAGCGTGAGGGTAATTTTCACTGAAATTAATCCTATGGATAGTTTTAACAAATTATATTATCAATAAACTATTTAATGGAGTAGTAATAAACTGGATAATATAGTATAAAGTTACATGTATAAGTATGTCCTAGAAAGCTTGTTCCTGTAAGCATTGTAGACATGAAGTCTGAAAATTATTCCTGTGTTTGACCAGGAGGTCAGATAAGAAATGCAGGAGGAAGGATGTACCATTGCTCTTTTGGGAACCTTCTAGAATTTTGCTTAATTTAAATGTGAGAGGAAGTGGGTAATTTGAAAGACACCTAAGGGAGATCACCAATAAAGAATAAAAAAAGCAAATAACTGCCAAAGGCTATTGGATGAAAAGTCAGTAAAATGTTCCCAAAATAGAAGTTGCGTAAAGTGTAGGAGCACAGTAAATTTTTTCTGCATTCACAGAAGAAAAAAAATTGTATGCAACTGCCTGGGAAAAAAAAATGCTCTAATGAGGTAAAAAAATTATGTGTTTGTCTATTGAAAATGGAGAAAATTTTGTTCATGAATCATCTTAGGACAAATGTGTGGTGAGATTGAGCAACAGTGACAACAATTTTGGGGCTATTGGAAAAAGGTGTTTGTTTTCCTTGCAGTCCAGATAAATATCTTGTTTAGAGCAGTAGGCGATTGAGCTGAGGTTACATAAAGTCCAGAGAGAAAAAACATTAAACCTCAGGTATTAGAAAAATACTGAATGCTTCTCAGAAGGGGTCATGAAAAGATGGGGCATAAGTTGCCCCCTACTTGAAGATTTTATTTCATGCAGTAAGAACCAGAGATAGGCTTAAAGGCACAGGTTGAACATATAATATCCCTGCCAATTTTCTTTCACCCTTCTTAGCCTTTGGTGTATAGCACTGTTTATTCTTTTTATTCATACACACTTCAAATAGAGGGGTTTTTTCCTGATGAATTACTAATCTTAACAATTTTCTCATGCATTGCATTGAGTTTCGTAGTCTAATTTTGCTACATATTGAAAAAAATCCCTTTTCAATTTCAAATCTACTGTCTTTCAGCATCTTTAAACATTTCAGT